GGGTCTTTCTCTGTCGCTAGGCTGGAGTGCAGTGGCGCGATCTTGGCTTACTGCAATCTCCGCCTTCTAGGTTCAAGTGATTCTCTTGCCTCAGCCTCCCGAGTAGCTGGGATTACAGGCGCCTGCTACCATGCTCCGCTAATTTTTGTGTTTTTAGTAGAGACGAGTTTTCACCGTATTGGCCAGGATGGTCTCGATCTCCTGACCTCGTGATCCACCCACCTCAGCCTCCCAAAGTGCTGGGATTACAGGTGTGAGCCACCGCGTTTTTGTTCAGGTCTTCTGTTTCCTTTTTAATCTTTTGTCTAGTTGTTTTATTCATTACCGAAAGTAGATTATTGATGTCTCCAACTATTGTCAGTTTCTCTCTCCAATTTTGTTAGTTTTTGATACATACATCTTAGGGCTCTGTTACGTGCATATGTTTGTAATTGTTTTATCTTTGTGGATTAACCTAATTATCGTTATAAAATGTCCTTCTTTGTCTTTAGTAAAACTTTGTATCTTAGGGCTTATTTTGTCTGATGTTAGTATAGCAATTCTAGTTCCATTTTCATTTCTGTTTGTGTAGCATATCGTTCCTCATCCTTTTACTTTCAACCTATTTGTGTCTTTGAATCTAAAGTGTGTCTCTTTAGAACATATAGTTGAATCATATTTTAAAAATTCATTCTGCCTGGCTTTTATTAAAAAGTCAAAAAATAACAGATGCTGGCAAGGTTGCAGAGAAAAAGGAACACTTATACACTGGTGGTGGGAGTGTAAGTTAGTTAAACCGTTGTGGAAGACAGCGTGGCAATTCTGCAAAGACCTAAAAACAGAAATATCATTCGACCCAGCAATCCCATTACTGAGTATACACCCAAAGGAATATAGATTGTTCTGTTCTAACAACACATGCACGTGTGTGTTCGCTGCAGCACTATTCACAGTAGCAAACACATGGAATCAACATAAACGCCTGTCAATGGCAGACTGGATAAAGAAAATGTGGTATGGTATACACCGTGGAATACTACGCAACCATAAAAAAGAATGAGATCATGTCCTTTGCAAGAACATGAATGGAGCTGGAGGCTGTTATCCTCAGCAAACTAATGCAGGAACAGAAAACCAAATGCCACACGTTCTCACTTACAAGTGGGAGCTAAATGATGAGAACACATGGACACGTAGAGGGGAACAACACATACTGGGGCCTATTGGAAGGTGAAGGGTGGGAGGAGGAAGACAATCAGGAAAAATAACTAATGGGCACTAGACTTAATACCTAGGCGTCAGAATGATCTGTACAACAAAGCCCCATGACACAAGTTTACCTGTATAAGAACCCTGCACATGTAACCCTGAACTTAAAATTAAAAAAAAAAACATTCATTCTGCCAATCCTTGCCTTGTAATTGGAGAATTTAATCCATTTACATCTAAAGTAATTATTGATAAGGAAAAACTCTACCATTTTAAAATAGTTTTCTATGTCTTATAACATTTTTGCTCCTCACTTTCTCCGTTACATTTTTTTGTGTTTGATTTGTTTTTGTATTGTAACATCTTGGTTTCTTTCTCATTTCCTTTTCTGTATGTTTTGGCTATTTTCTTATTGATCATGGGGATACAGTTGACTATTAAACTTGAAAATCTAGTTTGCATTAATGTCAACTTAATTTAAATAGTATGCAAAAGCTTGCCCCTAGATGTCTCCTTTTCCTCTTTTTCTTTAGTGTTGTTATTGCCTGTGGATTGCGTCTTTATTCCTTTTGTACTTATCAATACAGATTTACAATTATTGCTTTATTTAGTTGTCTTTTAAGTCAGGAGAGAAAAGGAGTTATAAACAAAAAATACATTTATACTGTCTTTATATTTATCTATATGGTTACCATTGCCAGTGCTCTCTTTCACTTCATGTGGATTCAAGTTACTCTGTAGTATCTTTTCATTTTAGTTGAAACAGTTCCCTTTAGTTTTTCTTTCAGGTTAGGTCTACTAGTGATAAATTCTATTGAGTTTTGCTTATCTGGGATGTTTTAGTTCTCCCTCATTTTTTAGTAATGGCTTTGCTGGATATAGAATTCTTGGTGGACTTTTTTTTTCTTTCAGCACTTTAAATGTCATCCCACCGCCTTCTGTTCACCATAGGTTTTGATGAGAAATCAGCTATTAATCTAACTGAGGATCCTTTGTAAGTGATGAATTATTAATACTTTCCTCTTGCTGCTTTCAAGATATTTTTTTGACAGTTTGATTATGATGTGTCTGAGTGTAGATATCTATGAATTTGTCCTACTTGGAGTTCATGGAGCTTTATGGATATGTAGGTTAATGTTTTTCATCAAATTGGTGAGGTTTTTGCTTTCTCTGCATTCTTTCCTTCTGGTACTCCTATTGTGTGTATTTTGGTGTACTTGACACAAGAGACCATGCTGTCTGCCTAGTGGGGATCGGGGCTGGTGTTTTGTAGCCATAAAGCTTACTCTCCAACTGACTGCATTTGGAGGACATGACCCAGGCTGCGAGGTCTGCTGCAGGAAGGGATCAACAGGCCTTTCGTGGGTCAGGAAGTCATGAAATTCAAGTGTGGGACTCTCTCCTCATCATGTGTGCATGTCTTGAATGAGGTGGTTCTTGCTGGGACATGATAGACTGTTGGATTAATGGGCTTGGTTTCTTTTCCCCCCACAGGTTCGAAGTCAACAACACCATTCTTCACCCAGAGATCGTTGAGTGGTGAGTACGGGCTGTGGTCGCCGTGCCTGTTTGTTGTGCTCGGCTCATGGGGATGGAATGCCCTGCCCACACCATCTCAGAGAGCCCCTCCAAAAGCAGATTCCCAGAACCTTCTCCCATAGCCTTTTCTGTTTTGCTTGTTCTTTGTTGTTGGTTGGCTGGCTGTACTCTTTTTGAAAGGGCATGAGTCACTTAAACATCAATTAAACTTATTTGCAATCTTACAAAAACTCCTACCATAAGTAAACCAAACTTAGATAGCTCCAGCATAAGGTAGGTAGCGAAAAGGGCAGAAATAAACATCACGCATAATCCCATTGCCAGAAAGGTAAACACATTTTCCTCACATCACGCATGTGTCTTGACAGAGGTGGCATTCTGTTCTACACATTCTTCTGTCACCTTCTTCCTTCCTGTGGTGATACTGTTAGCCCTTACCTGCTGCACAATTGGCTTCTACTAGCTGCCTACAAAGTGAGCTGTTTTATGCTTGGTGTCACCTCTGTGGGCCCTGGAAGTGGCCCTCCAATCCCAGTGTGCCACCAGTTTTCTTCCTAAGCCATCGCATTGCTCTTTGACAGCAGCAAGGCATTTTTTCTTTGATGGGTGACTGCACTTACTGAGAATGTAGAGGAGAGGCGAGGCCAGGCCTTTGCGAGATCATCACTTGCCTAGGAGATGTGTAGCCTACTCACATCTGACCCTAAGTCTGTATGATCACATTTTCTTTCCCGTCTAGCTGGGAACTCTGACTCGCCTCGTCTTAGAACTTGGGACCAAGGAGGTGTCCTGAAAGATGAATGGGCGTTGGCTGTGGAAAAAGGAGTAGGAGAGAGTGACCCAGGCGAAAGGACCGCTCGTTCACAGAAACAAGAGAAAGGGTGGTGGCTTTGTGTGGCCAGTGCGAAGCCAGGGAGCAGAGCCCGAGAACAGTTGGAGAGACAGGCAGTGGCTGGGTGGGCCTTGGTGTCCGTTTTGACTTTTTCTTCAGAGGAATGGGAAACACAGGAAACCCTTGAATGGTTTAAACAGGAGAATGGTAAGATTGGGTTTGCATTTTAAAAAATCATTTTGACCTCAGACTGGAGACCCAGCTGCAGGGCAAGTGTGGGAACAGGTGGCAAGTTAGGAGGCTGTTGCGGGGCTCCAGCTGGCAGTGGAGGGCAGAGGCAGGACAGAGCTGAGTGGTGAGGCCGCAGTCAAGAGGGAAAGCTCCTGGGAGGGACCAGTTGTGATGTGTGAGTGAAGGGCGGAGTTGAAGGTGACTCCAGGTTTTTGTCCCGCACAGCTAGGTGGTATGTCACTGAGATGGGGACAACTGGGAGGGCCAGATACCAGGGCAGATCTGGGACTTGGGGTGTGTTGAGTCTGAGGCGGGTACCAGTGTGAGAGAGGGCTGAGCTGGGGGTGGAGAACTGAGGGCTGATGATAGGCGCTAATACTGCACCCTCAGGGTTAGAGGCCAGTGGGTCGGACACCCCTCACAGCCACCCTCTGTGAAGACAGGGCTGGTGTTCTTCAAGTTCAGTTACCTCTTGTTTTTATAAAGTAACAAAGGTGAGCTGGTGGCTCACGCCTGTAATCCCAGCACTTTGGGAGACCAACATGAGAGAATCACTTGAGGCCAGGAGTTTGAGACCAGCCTGAGTAACAGAGAGATCCCATCTCTACAAAAACAAAATTTCAAAAAATTAGCCGAGCATGGCATTGGACTCCTGTAGTCCTAGCTTCTTGGGAGGTCGAGGCAGGAAGATCGCTTGAGCCCAGGAGGTCGAGGCTGCAGTGAGCCATGATTGTACTACCATACTCCAGCCCGAGTGACAGAGCGAGACCTGTCTCAAAAAAATAAAGTAATAAATGCCTGACTTGTCTGTAAAAAGCAAAAGATTTATAGGATCTGAAGAGAAACCAGAGAGCCTGTCCTATCTGTAGCCCCCATTTGGCAGAAGAATAAATCCTGGGTACTTAGAATGGGCCATGTCCACTTACACTGCCTCACGTGAGACATTCCCTTGTGGTCGCTTACAGCTTGGGTGCCTTGGAGACCACAGCTGGGTTCTGTACTCCCGCATCTCCTAAGGGATAAGTCATTAATTCGTCACTTTCGAAGAAGCATGCCTTAATTCAAGTGACATTTTCGAGGCTTTGAGGTCGAGAGCCCGCGGTCGTAAGCATACCTCCCAACTTTATTAAAGCAAGCAGCAGAAAGGACTTACTTGGCAGTTGATGGCAGCAGAACTGTTTTAGAAATGTCACATCGTCCCTGCTGCTCAGGGGTTTGTTTTAATAGCCCGGGTCCCAGTCATTCTCGGTGGGTCCACGGTAGTCATGATCATCACACTCCCTGGCTCATTGAAGGAAGGATGCTGTGTGGGGCGGCGGGCAGGTTCTTTATTAACAGGAATGGGTGGACTTTCCCTGATGTTAGATTACGACTCAGGGACACATCTTTTGTCTTTAGGTCTTGAATATCTTCACCATCCTCTCTGTCTGGTAGGGTCATGGGGATAACAGGAAACCATCAACTAGGGCACATGTGAATTCTAGCCCTAGCTCCTCCCTACTCAGGAAGTCGTGAGTTTTCTGAGCCTCAGCTTCTTGATCTATAAAACGGAGATATGGTGAAACCTAACTCATGGTATCGATATGAAGATTCACCCAGCCTCAGTTTCCTCACTTGCAAAGTAGGCTCAAAGATTGAGAGTATCAGTCAAGTGCTGGCATGTCTTTTTTTTTTTTTTTTTTTTAAGAGACAGGATCTCACTTTGTCTCTCAGGCTAGAGTGCAGTGGCGGGATCGTAGCTTTCTGCAGCCTTGACCTCCTGAGCTCAGGCGATCCTCCCACCTCAGCCTTCCAAGTAGCTGTGACTCTGGGTACATACCACCACACCCAGCTAATTTTTCTGTTTTTTGTAGAGACGGGGTCTCCTATGTTGCCCAGGCTGGTCTCGAACTCCTGGCCTTAAGAGATCCTCCTACCTCAGCCTTCCAAAGTGTTGGGATTATAGGCATGAGCCATTGCACCGAGCCTGGCACATTTTTTTTTTTTTTTAGATGGAGTCTTGCTCTGTCGCCCAGGCTGGAGTGCAGTGGCATGATCTTGGCTCACTGCAACCTCTGCCTCCCGGGTTCAAGTGATTCTTGTGCCTCAACCCCCACCTCCCCACTACAGGTACACACCACCACGCCCGGCTACTTTTTGTATTTTTAGTAGAGATGGGGTTTCACCATGTTAGCCAGGCTGCAGCCCGGCCCATCTTGATAACACTGTCACCTGTTAAGACTCCATGTGTACAAGGTGTTGTGCTAAGCACTTGACACATGTCACTGTATTTAAAGATATTTTATTTGTGGTGTATTAGGTAAGTGTTCTAGTTATTTCCATGCTATAGATGAAGAAACTGAGGCACAAGGAAGTTAGTGACTTGCCCAAGAAAATGCCAGTTGAGCCCAGACTGTTGAACCCAGGCTCTTGCACTGCTCCTTGCAGCTCTGAGGGGGCACCCGTGGAGTGGGGATGCCTGAGTGTCAGTCATCCTCCCAGCTCACTGCTGGTCCAGTGCCCTTGGAATGGTCTTGTGCTGGGGCCAGGGTATGGTAGGGTGGAGGACCAGGGGGCAGATGCTTGGCTTCCTTGGCACCCACGTGCACCTCAGCTCCCTCTGGCAGCTTGGCTGGGGACATGGGGTTCCTCCAGAGCCTGTCTGATTGGAAGGCAGCAAGCAGCCTCTCCTAGCACGGGCAAACTCGCTTTCTCATTTTTGTTCGGCTGTCATTCATTTCCTTCCTGTGACTGTTTTATTGTTTTCCATTCTCTCAAGGAGCGCCTTTTTGATTTCCTGTAAATTCCTCTATAATCATACTCTTCCCCACAAACATGAGATCATAACTGATAATTTCTTTTCTTGTGCTGGGTAGTGCAGTTTGAATGTGAAGGTCAAAAGTTGAAACTTCAAAAGAGCAGGCATCTTACTTCCATAATTTAGGCTGTGGTTCTGCTTTACTGTTTTGCAGACGATTAAATTGATCTGAAGGCAAGGTGGGAAATAAAAGGAGATGCTTTCATACCACCTGATACCTCAGTGCCTTGGGTTTTGGTTAAGTACCTCTGGAAGCGTCAGGGGAGAGCAGGCGTGTCAGCAATTGCCGTGTGCCTTCTTGGGTTTTAAGCGAGACTGTGTTAAATTGAGTCATCCGCTGGTTTTAGAGCTGTTAATTACACAGAACGAAAGTGTCCTGCATGCATTAATCAGGCGGTGGGTAACGTGTCTATTTCTGCTCACCAGCCTCTCCGTGTGCACAGGAGATGGAAAGCTATGGTTGGTTCACAGGTAGACATGCCCCAGGATTCTACGTCCTGGGTAACATGTCCCAAATTAGAAAAGATACGTAGATGATGACCTAAATTCTCGGTGTGTCTGTGAAAAGGATTCCAGTAGCATTGCTCATCTTTGTGTCCTCATGAATAGGCATTTAACCCTACGCCAGCAAGAAAGCCACATGGGAAGTGGGACTCCTAGGTGAGAGTGAGAACTTGAGTCACTGCGCGCCAGGAGGCAGGAGATGGATGTGGGAGCATCAGACAGAAGGAAAGGCGTGGCCAGGCCCTGGTCCAGCATGGAGGTGGACCTCTGCCCCACGTCTGCCCGTCTGGCTAGGTTTCAGGCACACTCGGCTCACAGCTGAGCTAAGCCATCATTTTCTTCATGGCTCTGGTTTCTGTGAGAGGACTTATTGATTGATCCCCCAGAGGATATGTAATTCCAACCAGCTCTTTTCTTTCTGTCCTTCCCCTGTGGGATTTTATCCTTTGCATCACTGGGTCATGGAGTGTGGGAGGGATAGTTGTTGGGGGTTCAGTGGTGTTGAATTCCCGCCCACCTGGCTCCAATAGAACCACTCCCTGCGCATCCACCTCCAGGAGAGATGAAATTCCTGGCCCTTTAAATGAGTTTTGCTCAACACGGTGGCACTTTGATGCTTAGAGGCTGATTTTGGAA